ATAGAAATCGAACGCAAATTGTATCAACTACTGGCTGGTAGGTGATGGCAGCATGGCACGGACCCGCGCTAACTAAAAAAAAAACAAAAGCGCGCGAATAACTTTTCTGTTCTTGTTACCTCAGTACATATTTTATTGTATTTTGCAAAGAGTTTTTGGCGGGATTTCATCGAGTGCGGTTGGCGTCTTATTTTAATTATTCTTAAATTTGTTCATAGTGGATATTGTGAAATAAAATTGGTGTGATTTTGTATTACAACCGTCTGCGCAACTGAAGAATTAGTGGAATCTTTAAAATATACGCTATTCCGGTCAAGTGGACGTGAGAATTTTATTGTAGTATTGACTACCTCACAGAAGCTTATCGAAAAAGCCAACTCGATATATTTCGTGCCAAACACTCCAAGAAGCATTAGAATGCGTCACACCTACATTCTAATCTAAAAAAAAAGGAAGATTAATACAAAAATAAGACGATGGCTGCATGGCTACGCCTTTGCCTTGCTCAATAGAGAAGAATAGAACTAAAAAAAATGTATAATGCAAAAATAATGAGTTCTACTACCTAAAATTATGAAAGTGATAAAGCATTAACTCCTGAAACAATAACTATAGAAGCTAACAACGTCGTACAAAACTTATTACCCACGAAATCCTGGGAGAAATATTTAAGGGCCTATGACAATTTCGTTCTCTGGAAAAACAGAAAAGAAGCGAAAACGTTTTCGGAAAATGTGTTTTTGGCCTATTTACAAGAATTGGCCAAAACTAAGCAACCTTCTACCCTTTGAGTAAATACTCAATGCTTAAATGTACCAATAAAAATATTAAAATTGATAGCTACTCAAAATTACTAGTTCCCTCGCCATAAAATAGTTATTTATTATACAAGAGTGGAAAGTTCCTTTTTAACCGCGTGCTCGATTTGGATGACCGAGCAAGCGAAGGATTCTAAAGTTGAATCACGAGCGCAGCGAGTGATTCTAAATTAGAATCCTGAGCGTCAGCGAGGGAAACAAACGAGCACAAGTCTTTCCACTCGAGTGCAATACGTAACTTTTCATCCCACCTCAGCGAGGAAATGACAAAATGAAAAAGAAAACAATTTATAATGACAAAATATTTTTATTTCAATTAAAACACATTAAGATAATCTATAAATTGAAGAAAATAATAAGAAGTAGAAAATAATTAAGAAATATTAAATGTAACGTTGCTACAGTTACTTATGTTAAGTTTAATATTTTTGTTAGGTAATGTTATGTTGGTGTTTGTGAATTGTGCGCTGTTTTGTGGTAAACTACTCGTATCAGTAATTTTAAATAGTTGTGCCGATTCATTGGATTCTATTGGCGTAAATGTTGGCGAGAGAGGGCTATTGTTTCCAATCTTATGGGGGCTCATTTTAGATGTAGAAGGGCGAGACCAAGAATCTGACAGAGGTTCTTTCAGCGTTATGGCCTCCACGATACTATTACAAATTTTTGATTTACTTTGGATTGAATCCTCTATGTATCCCTCTACAACCGAATTAGACTTCCAGCCTCCATGGCGCTTAAGCGATAGAAGATCAGCCCCTGATTCGGCCAAAAGTGTGGCTGAGGTTCTTCTAAAACAGTGACCGGTGTATAACGGGGGTTCTAAAAGTCCGAGAAAAGTTGCTATTTCTCGTGGAATACTGCCAATTTTATTCTGACCCATAGGTTGTCGGATACACTTTCCGTTGCGATATTGTAGAAAAAATCGTTCAATTGGGGTGTTAGAAGGACGTAAAGCTTGATATTTCTGAACAATGTTTACATATTCCTTGCGAATAACGAAGTTGCGGTCTTTTTTTGTCTTGGTATTTAGTACATTAATTAATAGCAATTCATCAGAATTATGAGAATATTTTGATACGTTATTGACATTAAGTAGTGTAAGTTCATTTGTTCGACATGCTCCGGTTATACCAATAATAAGAACAACCTGTAACAAAAGAAGTATTTATAATCGTAAATAAATTAATCAAATTAAAAATATTGTAAGTACTATGTACAATTTTATCAACAACAAAAAATTACACGTATTGACTTACTTTTGCCGCTAAATATACGGAATCAGGTGCTTCATTAATAAACTTTGCAATTTCAGATGCTGTGAAAACCTTCGATTTTTTTGGTTTATAACCAGATGAGGCTCTTTTTAAAAATGCCACTAATTTATGATAGGTGTCGATATGAACGTCTTTCTTCATCTTAATTGTTAATTTTAGCATTGAATACGTACTCCATAGCGTGCTTGCTTTCTTGGTCTCAGATAATTCTATAAAATATGCCAGCAAAACGTTTTCGGAGAAAGTTTTTGCTCCTTTAGCTAGTCGCCACATGTTAAATATATCGTACTGTTTCAAATACTTCTCTCGTGATTGCTGAGGGAGAAGGCTCATTTGCGCATTATTAACTGTTTCAGTTAACTCAGTTGGCGTTAGATAAACTTCATCGTCGCTAATGTCACTCATTTTAGTTGATTTTTTTGTACAGTTTTTAGGTTATGTTAATTATATTAAGCAATAAAACGTGAAAAACTAGAATGGCGCGAAGCACGCAAATAAAACAAAGAAACCAAGAAGGTTCCAAATTTAAATTTTTTCACAATTTAAAAAGTTCTAATCATAAATTTGGCACCATAGAGGTTACATTAAATAGGTTTAATGACGTTTTGAATTTACAATTATATTGAGTACTCATTATATGTGATGTTCTAAATTCAAATCTACTTTGCCGCTCAAGCGAATAAAATAGAATTTTCCAGCCAGATTTCGAAGCGCAAAATTACACTTTCCGAGGTGGTGGGATGAAAATACTATTTTGCTCCCTTGTCATACAATCTACTATTGTTGTCACATATACAGCAAAACAGTATTATACGAATAACCAGATTCTGGTTTTCTGTAGGAGACTTTATTTCAGTGTGAAAGTTTTTACTTCATATGGCGCTTGTTGCTGAATGGAGTGATTTACTTTTTTCAATGTTTTCGTTATAAAATGTTGTTAGTGTGTGAAATGTGTTTAAACTACAACTTGCTCTAAATGAATTCTTATGGAAGTACTTATTAGTAATATAACCTATGCATAATTATTAAGCGCGTATATTAAAACGAGCGGAAAACAGGAAACTAACGATAGCCTTTTAACCGCCCCTATTCGATCCTACATCACAGCCGAGCTCAACAAATTGCTGCATTTTCAATATCTTGGTAATAGTTCACATATGCGGCACATTGTTGCAAAGCTTGCCGTTTTACAGCCAGTAGCGGGAGACGGTGTCACTGTCGTCGTAAATTGAATTGGAGTGAATAAAATGTAGCGACGCAAAAGCGAATTTAAGGAAAACATGGGATGTGACTCGTGTTCATGAGTAGCAATAACTGCGACTGCGATATTTGTGTAGTTTCCTAGTTTTATAACCAAAATTCGTGTGACGAGCAATACATGATACAATACTTAGAACAACTACAACGACTGTTGTAGTTGATTGGGAAGATACAATATCTAGTTTGTATGTTACTACGTTATCGTGTGTCTATCTAAGAAGGACCATGCCAGGACTTGTGATGTTCACCATCCAATTGCAATCGCATCGTCAGTTTCTAGGGAAACTAAGCAGCGCCCCTACCGGATTAGACATGGGCGTTTTTGGTTTTGAACGCAAACGGATATTTATCGGATTTCAGATTTCAAAATCGATTTTAAAATCCGTTTTTAGATATCCGATTTCAGATGTGCCGAACTTAGCCAATTCACTAGTTTGTGTTATGATTTGGTTTTATTAGCTAACGACAATCACAAACAATTAATTGTAGGAAGCAAGGATACTCGTAGATTTTCGCGATTTTCCTTCATGCTTTAAATCTAGGCTTAGGACCAGCAGAAAAGTTATGTTTAGGGTTAAGAGTAAAACTTTTGCGGCGCATTTAAAAATCGGCTTTTATACAATGATTTCTTTTTACATATTTTTTTAGTATTTTTTTTTGATTTTCTGTTTGTTTTTATTATTTTTCAAACCATTTACAAAATCAAACCTAATTACTTCAGGTTAGCGTTCAAAAATGTAAGGTGCTCGACTTTTGATGTTTTTAGACGACATATCTTTTCAGTGATAAATAATCCCACCTCAGAGAAGAGCAATAGATTTCCGTAAACAGCAAATCGAAATCGGACTTCCGAGCACGAAATCTGACTTCTGAAAACGAAAGCACGAATTTCGAATCCGATTTACATTTGGATACTTGTGGTATTAGATCGCTAGCGTTTTGGTTCGGTTAGATTTCTGAAATCGGATTTTCTTGTTGAGAAATCGTTCGGTATCGATTTGTGTTTGAAATCGGATTTTGGATTCGTTTTGATATATCGGACGCATGCCTAGATGTTTGGAAAAACTGGCTCCTTCCATTGTTATAAACAATTTTCTATGGAAGGAGCCGATTACGGATCTGTAAAAGTAAAAGGATTTGAAAATCAATAAACAAGATAGTGGGAAATACCTTGCTTTCTTTTAGAGCACAGAGCAGAGCACAAAGATATTTATTTGATTTTCTAATTCGCAGCACAAGTTTAATTTGAAGAATTATGTGACAAATTTTCGAACTTAATATCTTACAGATCCGATGGGACTGATACGTAATGTAATACAAAAGTCCTATAAAATAGAGAGAAAAAAAGAAGCTCGACGGAACAGGTGGTTAGGGCGTTCGGCTTGCGAACGTGGAAGTTAAGAAACTTTCGCAATGGCCGGTCATTGGATGGGTGACCAAAACGTGTGAGCTTCTCCATGCTTCTGAAAACACGTTAAGCCGTTGGTCCCGGGTGCACCTCCATGTTGCATACATAGGGAAATTCTGTGCCCAGCAGTGGGGATAATAATGGGCTAATGATGATGAAGTACATACTCGTAGGTACTAATCCTATTTTGTTAAATATCATGTCTGCTTTACCATAATAATACGATTTCTTCTGTAGTTAGATGTAAATGAGGACGATTTGGAGACGGTATCCGTGCGGCTGTTGGAGATGTTAGCCAGCGTGAAGTATCGACCACCTGCCAACGTGGAGCCGCCCAGGTTCAGAACTCAACTATTAGCTGGAGACTCAAGGACCATTCACCATGTGCTACACTGGCTACTCACTAACAAGGAGCAGGTCAAGAATACGGCATATTTAGCTAAGTAAGATTCCATTTTCTTAAAACTAATATAACGCTAGGGGACCTCTATAAAGTTACCAAGTTTTCAAAATAAAAAGACGCTGGAAAAAAAAGACTGCATTTCATTGTGTTACCGTTTCTGAGGTTTTAGTTTTATCTCCGGCTAGGCTAGGTATATCCGCCTTATTCCAAAACGCGAACTAAAGTTTGTTATGATTTAAGCCTAATGTTGTCTCTGTCTTCTTTTAGCGACAAAAGTGGAAGCATAAATTTTAAACCACACTTAAGTTTAGTAAATGTTTTGTAATATGGCACTTTTTGGCTACCAAATTATGGAAACGGCTTGGTATGACATTTTTATCTATATAAAAATCAATTGATGTTCTTTAGTCTTGCTAAAACTCGAGAACTGCTGAACGGATTTATCTTATCTTGGTCTTGAAATGTTCGTGGAGGTCTAGGGAAGGTTTAAAAGGTGAGAAAATATGGAAAAATTGCGAGGAAGATAGTAAAAACGTCAATTTAATTTTCCCTTATAAACTGTTCTATGTTCTTTCCTGTCAAACATTTGACGTTCGTCTCTTTTATTAATTAATTAAGAACATCTTATACCTCGTTTAGACTATGCCCATGCCGCTACCCCTCGCGTTGCCGGCAATAATTCCCTAAATATTGCTGCGGCATGATTGAGAGAAGTATGTGTTTACATACTGCCCTACCTCTCACTTCGCTTCAGAGTTTCGGCAATGGCAGACGTCGAAGTAATAACAGCGGCCGCGCTGTGTCTTTTTGCAATCCATACTTATGTTCGAAACTTAAATAATTAATAAATTTTAATATAGTTATGTTTTTATTTATTTTAAAGCATTTAACTGCTAAATGTTTAAATCTAAAGAAAATAATAATAATAATAATAAATATTCTTTATTGCACACAACAAAGGACACAAGATAAAAAACAAATAAAACAGAAGAAAGAGTACAATAGGCGGCCTTATTGCTAAACAGCAATCTCTTCCAGGCAACCTATGGTAGACACGGAATAATAATAGAGAAATATAGAAGGGTGCAAAAGTAGATACAGGAGCTATACTTACATAAATATAAGAGAAGCAAAGAAATAGGATATTAAATGAGTTTAAGATAAAGAAAGGAAATAACTTTTAACTTGATCGCTAAAGGAATTAAGCGTACGAGCCTTTCTGATACCCTCAGGAAGTGAATTCCAAAGTCGAGCAGCGTGCACAGAAAAAGAGTAAGAAAAGAAGTCAGAAGAGTGACAGGGAATCTCAAGAAGTAGGTTAGATGAGGATCTCAGTGAGAGCTGCGAAGAAGAGGATAGAAATGAGAAACACTGCTTAAGATAAGGTGGGGAAGATGGCAGGAAAAGTATAGAATAGAGAACCGTTAGAGTGTGTAGATCTCTGCGCCAGCGGATAGGGAGCCAATTAAGTTTATTACGGAAGTGAGACACGTGGTCGAATTTACGGAGATTGTTAATAAACCTGATACAAATATTCTGCAGTCGCTCTAATTTATTGAGGAGTTCCTCCGACAGATCGGTGTAGCAAACGTCAGCGTAGTCGATGATGGACAACAACAGAGAATTTGCCAAGTTGATTTTGGTGCTGATCGGCAAAAGGTTCCGCAACCGACTAAGGGAACCATAAGCAGCAAACACCTTTTTTCTGACCATCTCCACCTGTGGTTTCCAGGTGAAACTCTGGTCAAAGACAACACCCAAGTTTTTGACGGTTTCTGAGTAGGGAATAATAGAACCGTTCAAAATAATGGAAGGCAAATGATTAAAGTCGATCCTGGAAATAAAAAGAGGACTACCAATTATGATGGATTGAGTTTTTTCCGGATTTAAGGTAAGACCAAATGACTTACTCCAACTACTTATAAACGACAAATTTGTGTTGATATCAGAAATTGCGCTAGAGAGGTCAGATAAAGGGGCCTGAGTGTATATCTGGAGATCATCAGCATAAAGGTGATATGAACATGAAAGTGACAGTGTGATAGAGTTTATAAAGATAGAAAATAGAAGAGGAGATAGGACGCCACTGCACTGATATCACACCATGAAGACAAGGTGTTGTCAATACGAATACGCTGTCGGCGGCCTAGCAGGTAACTTCGAAACCATTCAACTGCGGATGGAGATATGCTAAGTGAACCTAAAACGCCTAAAAGGATGTCAAAGTCGACTGAGTTGAAGGCGTTGCTAAAATCAAGCAGTGTCAACAACGTTAGTTGCCGCTTATCCATTCCTCGGCGGATATCGTCCGAGATTTTAACCAGTGCGGTAGTAGTGCTGTGGCCCCTACGAAAGCCAGACTGAAAAAGTTGAAGAGGTGGTTCGAATTGAGAAAGGCCGTGAGCTGCCGGGATATTAATTTTTCAAGGACTTTTGATAAAAACGGAAGAATGGATATGGGACGGTATTCCGAAAAAGAGGTGGGATTTGATTTTTTGGGGAGAGGAATCACATTGGCGTCTTTCCAGGAAGAAGGAAAAACTCCAGTAGAAACTGAAGTATTAAGAATGGTTGTGATTACAGGAATCAGGATATTTATAATAGGCAGGATCATTTTGCGGCTGATTGAATCACTGCCTACCGCACTGGAGTTCATCGACAAGATAGTCCTCTTAACATCACATTCCGCAAATTGATGTATGACAAAGAGAGGATCAAGAGTTGGCAGATTAGAAAGATGACGTAAGGTTAAACGCTTACGTTTCTCATCAATGGAGATTGTAGAGGCAAAATAACTGTTAAGTTGATCGACATCAAGATTGTTACAGGGATTGGACCTACGTGACTTGCCAACTCCCATTGATCTCAAGAATCTCCAAACCTTCTAGCACGATTGTATTTAGCCTCGTTGTTATTTGAAGGATCAAGTTTAAACTTTGCCTTTGCCCTGTTTTTTGAAGTTATACTTCTTTAGGCGCGTTATGAAAAAATGATGAGAGTGAAATTTTAAGATGCGCGCGCATCACTGTAACACAAAAATTAACAGCATGAAGTTGGTCGCTTGGACCAACTTCATGCTGTTACTTTTGTGTTTACCGCACATTAAGAAAATCTACCAACAAAATAGAAATATAATCTCTATTTAGTGGTGGCTAACGACTGCACAGTGAAGGCCTATCAAAAGTATTTATTAATCTGGAACAACGGAACCAAAGCGCGATTCGCGCGCGCGAGACTACAGCACCATCTCTTGACCATTGGTGTAGTAGAACCAAAAACCACATCTTTATTTTTTGTAATAAAGTAACAGTTATAGGTATTCATATTTATAATATTTATCCACATGTTTCTAGTTTGTATATCCGGAATACGTGTTTGAGTTTCATACAAGTGCAAATCACATATGTTCTAATAAATTATATTCAGTAGCGATTTTAATTGAATATTTTGATTATTTATTTATTTTTTCAAATTAAAACTGAACTTTATTGACTGTGTCCTTTTCCAGACTTTTTATTAATTTATTGTAATTAATTATTTGCATGCAATTAAAAACTAATTTTAAACGATGCCAAAGAAGGATAACTTCTCACGCGCCTACATAAGTACACGCACCCATTTTTTTACTCATCAACCGTCGAATCTCTTCAGCGAACCAAGGAGCAAGCAGAGACTTAATTTTACTAGATAAAACTGTGGGTTACCTACAATGCGAAGAGATGGCGCTGCCTTGCAGCTTAAGGCTAGGAAAATTTTTCGAAAAGGTTCGAGTCCCGTCCGCTGCCTGGTCCGCGTGGATTTTTTTCTAGTAAACTTTTCTTTTAATTTTAATATAAATAAATTAATGAATATTAATTATTAATTAATATTTAATTAATTAATAATTTTTAATTTCACATCTTTCTCCACCAAGCGCGTGGCGCGAACTAAGCGACGCGCAGAGTGTGAACACGCATTGCCACTCGCGCTGCCGGTCCTTTGACTTCCGCACAAAAAACCGCTCTTTTGGGGAGCGCCGGGCAGCGCGAATGGCAATGGCAGTGGCATGACGAGTATCGTGTTTACATACTCGTCATGCCCACTTCCCTCCTTACTCGCGCTGCATGTAAACGAGGTATTACACAATATTTTTATATCATACACACATGGCAACTGTCATTTGTGTTAATCTGGGATTGTTTATTAGATTTCACGCTTAAATTTGAATTTCCTGAAATCGCAGGATTTTTTCTATATAAAAGTGCTTTCCATAATAGCCAACTTCTCAACGTTAGGTAAAAATGCATTTGATTATCCGATCTCAATTTATAATATTAACTAGAATTTATATTTATTTATTTCATGTGCTTCTGATACAAAGGGATATAACTGCGCACATTCACACAGAATAATTAATTTAAAATAGGACTAAAAACCATTTGTATGCAGAAATAAAAGACTTATTTATTTGCTGTGTATTGAATGAAAAGACAAAGGCTAAATAAATAACTAAATAATGGTCAATCACAATAAACAAGGCGTATACCAAGTAATTGGATTTACGTGTCACAATACGGTGAATAACTCTGCTATTGGGCCAGGTGAATTAGTAAGGCCCATGTTACGTGGAATCTACGTGACCAGCACACCATTTACGTGGCTTTTCCTCAATGATTATCGCACACGTAAAACGTGCAGTCAGCTCCGGATTTACCGACTGTCAACTGAGCTTTTTCTTCATAATAATACTCTAGAGACAGAAAACCACTTACTGATGCCTGACCCTCATTTTGAAACATGGGCTGTTTTGTTATGATAAGTGCCCATGTATACGAAATTAAAATAGGAATAATTTTCACATACCCTTTCATAGATCGATAGCTGTATATATATGAAAGGGTTCTTTTCATGGATATACAGCTAAAAATCATATAAGAAGATATAGTGCATATTTGAATTGTATTAATTTGTTGCAAATTCTTAAAATTTACAAAGTGAGTATTTTTTTTGTCTGGTCCCTAAAAGTAAGGGAGCCCAAGCGAGGATTTTTGGATTTACTCG